CAGGGCCAGGCAGTACATTCAGGTTCTGGCTGATGATGCGTTCAGGCTCTCGGACCGCAGCCAGCTGCTCTCGTTTCTCTGCAGGCTAATCTGAAGCTACTGCTCGCCTGCTGCTTCACTGAGCGCGCTCCGTGGACGCACGCCATCCCAGCCTCCGGTCCCTCCGTCGTCCCGCCGTCCGGGTCGGTCGAGCCCACGCCACTTCCAGCTCAGGACCCCCGGGGGCGGATGGAGAGCAGGGTGATGTCAGAAGAGTTTAGAGGAGTTTGTGTTGAAGACAGAAATCAGTTTCACCGAGTCGGGGATGCTGTTATTTTGAAAGTCACACTTTCAGTCTGGAGTTTCAGAATAAAATGAAGTTTCTGTTTGGGTTTTTACAGAATCTCTCCAGGACAAATGAAGTTCTGCTTTGGTTCTGGATCTTTGGTCTCTGTATAACGGAACCCTAATCCTGACAGTCAGCTTACCCGGGTCGGTTCTGAGCAGTTGATGGATCATAGCTGATGTGAAGAACCTCCAGGTTCTGATGTTAAGAACCTCCAGGTTCTAATGTAAAGAACCTCCAGGTTCTGATGTAAAGAACCTCCAGGTTCTAATGTAAAGAACCTCCAGGTTCTGATGTGAAGAACCTCCAGGTTCTAATGTAAAGAACCTCCAGGTCCTGATGTAAAGAACCTCCAGGTTCTGATGTGAAGAACCTTGGAGATTGTTTGGATCTGGATGAACCCCAGGTTAAAAGGTTCAATGTTCAGTTGCTGATTCCTGCAGAGCTCTGGTGGTTCTGCTGACCCTCCTGGATCAGACCTGCTGTTGAAAGTTCTATGTTTGAAGGGGATCTGAAAGTCTGGATCCAGTTTCTGTTCTGCTGGTTCTGGTTTGTGCTCAGATCCAGCTGCACCATGAAGAAATTCAGGATCAAATTCAAAATGTGTTAAAAGTTGGACCAAAGTTCTGGACATGTAGGTGGAGGATCTGGACCAAAGTTCTGGACATGTCGGAGGATCTGGATCAAATTTCTAAGCAGTTCTGTCCAGCTCGTATTCCGATCCGTTTGCTGATGCTGGTACCAGGCCCGGCTCACAGTTCGACTCTGGCCAGGATCAATTATGTCCAAATAAAGGTCAAAGGTCACTGCTGTAACAGAGCAGGAGATGAGTGGAAGCTGGCTTTTCCTGCGGCAGTGAACGCACCGTCGATCTGCTTCCTCATTTCATGTGGAAAACCCAACTAATTACGTGGAAATATGATAATATAAACCGCTGGGGGAACTGCCCGCTCGGCCCCACTCATTACCCAGAGTCCCCGGCTCCTCTCACCCCCATCTCACCCCCCGTCTCACCCCCCATCCTGGTATTTCTTCCAGGGAGTCTCGCCCTTTCACGACTGGAGAAACATTAGCAGCCAGTCCAGCTCGTTTTGGATCAAAACAAAGTTTCATTTGCATAATCTGAGCCTGAGCTCCTCCCCCTGATGGCTGCCAGGGAAGGTCAGCCCCGCCCCCTCTTCCCCCACCGCCTGACCCTCGTCTTCCTCAGGAGGTGATCCCCTCACCCCACCCCCGTGTCTTCATCCTCTCATCAGTTTGTCGTCCTTCGGTCCAGCCTCACCTGATCCTGCTGGCCGGACCGCAGGCGGGTGTGTGTGTGTGTGAGTGTGTGTGTGTGTGTGTGTGCGCATGTGTGTGTGTGTGTGTGTCAGTCAGAGATGGTGATGGATCAAAACAGACAGTTTCTCAGTGCGAGTCTTAACCTCCACTGGACCCCAGTCTGGCTCCGTAACACACACACACACACACACAAACACACACACACACACACACACACACACACCCAC